AGTGCCTTCTAATCCAACTGAACTCTGACACTCTCTACCTGGAGATAGTGCCACTCACCTTATGGCTTGAGGGCTGATTTCCCAAGACCATCCCCACTTGAGACCCATTTGCAAGTCCAGGCCTCTGGAAAGTCTGAGTGACTAAAAATGGAGGTGCCCACGACCCCCTCCCCATATGCCATTAATTTGCTAGAGTGGCTCACAGATCTCAGGGAAACACATACATGTATTTTAAAGGATGCAAATAAGCAGCCAAGTGAAGAGGTCTAGATAGGTCTAGAGGGATCCCAAGTACAAGAGCCTCCATCTCCATGGAGTTGGTATATGCCCCTCCTCCTACCATGTAAATGAATTGTTGTTCACTATCTGAAATCATCCATGTGCTCAGCAGTCCAGAAGCTCTCTGGGCTCTGTCCTTTTGGGTTTTTATGGAGACATCATTGCATAGGCATAACCAAAGAGTAGACAACCATGTAGAAATGTGACTGGATAAAAAGGAGATTACTCAAAGCTAGCAGACTGGGCAGGGAAACTTTGCAAGGTCCATAGACTTGGATTTTTCAGGACATCTTGGTCAAGGAAGGGCATAGGATGGGATCACTTCTGAAATGCATGTTTTAGGGAAGTGGTAAAGCATTTGCATAGCATATGCAAGGCCCTGGTTTGATCCCCAGCACTACAAAAACAAACAAACCTTTGCATGCCCAACTCTTCACCTTTTTCTAATGCCTAGAACAGAGGTTAATGAAGATATGCATTTAATATATAATTGCTGAAAGAAATGTGTAGTTTATTATCTATTATCAGAAAAAGTGGGCCAAAGCTGAGTTGGCAGAGGAAAGGTTTTCCTCTCAACACCAAAAAGGCAAATGGAGAGCCTGCACAGCAACACTATGGCCCCTAAGACTGGATTCTATAAGCACAATGGGAGAAAAGCACAAATGAAAAGCTTGATCATTCACAAAGATATGAAGGTAGAGGGTTGAATAAACTTTAGGATGTGGTTCTGCTGGGTGGGTAAGGCAACAGTGAAATGGAGCAATGGAGCTGAATGAGGCAAGTGATTCATTGTAGGAAAAGGAAGCCAGGGACAGACAGGGAGAAAGGGGGCACATAGGGAGGTTACTTGGAGGCAAAGGAACTGGGGCAGGAGAGGGCAACACAGAAAGTTAAGTCTGTCTCTCAATGACCTTCCCCTGCCTCCTTTCACCTGCTCATTGTTTGTCCCTCCAATTTTATTTATTTATTTATTTATTTATTTATTTATTTGGTACCAGGGATTGAACTGGGGAACTTGCGCTTTCGAGGCAGGCACCGGAACCACTGAGCTAAATCCCTGGCCCTGTCCCTCCAATTTTAAAAAGCAAGTATTTATTTACTTCAGCTTTCCCTTTTCCCTAATTAAAACATTTATCTTTATGTGGATACATCCTTCCTTCTGTTGGCCACAATTAAGAAATTTCCCTTAGCCAGGTGTAGGGGTGTGATTCCTGCTACTTAGGAGGCTAGGGCAGAAGGATTGTAATTTTAAGGCTAACCTGAGCAACATAGTAAAACCTCAACTCAAAAAAAGGTGGGGGGTTCATTTTCTGGGGCAAGAGGTAAAGAGGTATATAGCTTAGTGGTAGAGTGCTTTTGCCCAGCATGCGCAAGGCTCTGGTTTTGATCCCTAACACTGCAAAGACAACTTTTTTTCTTTCCTAATTCTAATTTCTCTGAATTCCATTTCCATTCTGCTTTCTAAGAGTGTTCATCAGCTTTCTATTAGTGTGACAAGATACCTGGGATTATCAATTTATGAGGAAGAAAGGTTTATTTTGGCTTCTGCTTTCAGATGGTTCAGTTCATGGTCCAGGGCCTTTGGATCTGTGGTGAGGTGGTACATCATGGTGGGAGGGTGTGGTAGAGGAGGATGCTTTCCTTATGGTAGATTTGAAGAATAGAGGCTGAGTTCTCAATGTTCTCTTCAAGGGTGCACCCATAAAGACCTAACTTCCTTCCACTAGATCCCACCTCTTAAGAGTTCTACTATCTCCCTACAGCACCAAGCTGAAGCCCAAGTCTTTAACTTGTGGGGCACATTCTAATCCAAACCACAGCACTAAGGGATCCAGTATGCCCTTTCTTGTTTATGGCTTGTCCTCTTGGCATGCACATAGGCTCTTGCCTACCTTATTTAAATGAAATGAATGTTTTCCCTGAACCTAATGTAGCCTCTAGTGAAAGTTTTATCTCTCGCCTTCCTCTAAGAATGAAACTGTTGGGAGGAGTTGTTTAAACTTTGATTCCATTCCTTAACTTGTCACTGCTTGAAGCATTATAGAGAATTTTTGCCCAATTCAACAGAAGTTCTTGGTATCTGTGAACAGAACCATGAGGGGACCTATCATACATACAGTATAGCCTCTCCTCCACTACTTTAGTTTCTTTAACTGAGCCCAAAAGAAATTTAATCCAAATGTGCTCCTGCCCAAGCCCTGTCTGAAATCTGGACTTGCCACAAGAAAATTGGCCCTTGGGAGTTCACCACTGGAATGAGCACTGTGGAATGTAATAGGTCTTTCCCAGCTCTTTTCAACTGGAATTCAGGCATCACGAAGAGTTTCATTACTGGGCTTTGTAAATACTAAGCAATTAACACTTTTCAGATAACACAGAAGAGGTCTTGTGATGGAGGGCAGAGAGCTATGGCTGGGAAACTGTAGTTCTCCTAACTTGGCCTTGTGCAAATTGATCTACTTTGGTTTGGGGAAGATCCTATGACCTAAAGTGCCTAAACACTAAAAGTAACATCAGTGCATTTGAAAGCCATTAGCCTCACATAAAATGCTAGCCTTTAAGTTAAAATGACTCATTTCTTTTTTTCAGTACTAGGGATTGAACCCAAGGCCTCATTCATGCTGGGGAAGTATTCTACCACTGGTCTACATCTCCAGCCTTTTAAAATTTTTATTTTGAGCAATGTCTCATCAAGTTGGCCAGGCTGGCCTTGATCCTTCTGCTTTCCAAGTAGCTGGGGTTATAGGGTATACAATCACACCTGACCAAATTGTTTACAATCCAGTATATTTATGAAATACTGGTAGTAATCTGAATTTGTCAAATAATTTTTTTCAGTGCTGAGGATTAAACATAGGGTCCTGAGCATGAGACAAGTGCATTACCATTGAGTGCCATCCTCCACCTGTGTGGAATAAAATTTGATGACATGGTCATCTTGATAAAGTACTAGGATAAGGTGAGTAACTCAGACAACTTTACCTACCAAGTATACTAGCTTATCAATGTGAAATATCACAACTGAAATATTTAAAATTTAGACTAAAATAAGGCAGAAACTTCTATAGTTATAGTGATTTTAGCCCTATCTTGGGTAAGGATATTATTTTTAAGTATTGCTGTCTATGATAAAATGTGTACCTTTTATCAACTTAGTTTACCTTTATATGCCACAATACTTGTCTGATTTTTGCAGTTTAAAACATTTCCCTATTAATATAGTCCTTGTAGACATTACATATTTTCCCCCTTAAAATAGAAACTTAAAAAAATTTCCCAAGATACTAAACATCAATCTGGAATATAGATTTTGGTCACAAAGCACCTTAGTTCATCTAAAAATAAAAAATTTAAATTAAAAACAAATTCTCGTCACCTGTCTCAATAGGTTCTAAAATTACAGAAGTAGTCTGGGGAGCACCTGGTTGGGATGGAAAGTGATGGCTCCTTAACCCTGACCCAGACTGGGCATATTAGCTGATGCTTCTCTCAGGATAACCTTGGAGTAGGAAGTTTCATCCTCATGGGAGTGGATCTTGAGGTCATCCAAGGTAGGCAGGGCACATTCCTTGTTTTTTTGAGATACCAACCATCCCTATTCTATCTTTCTGCACTTACACAGGACACAAGTCCCATCTTCTGGGATGTGCTCCTTCAGGTCCCACTGATAGCTGATGAATAAAGTCTTGAAACAGGAACCCAGAAATCAGATCTTGTAGGAGGCCTATTTCCCAGAAGTCTCAGGAAACATTACACAAAGAGGACAGTGGCCATAATCCTAACTGTTCCTTCCACAGTTGCATCCCCTGCCTCTGGGGTTCTTGATGCTCATGAAGGGGAAAGGTAGGAGGCTGTGTGTCTTTGAGTTCCAGCTCTAGGATGAGACTATCTTATTGGACAGGCCTGACTTTGTGCAGGACCTTCTTGCGTAAGGAGGTCAAAGATCTCATAGACCCTTTGCGCCCGCATCTGCCTGGATGCGGGCCTGCCTGGCGCCCTCAGCGGCCGCACCTGGTGGGGTCCTGCGCAGTGCCCCGCAATGCATTGTGGGAACACCTCTTCCCCAGTCTACTTTGACAGAGATTTGTCCAGAACAAAAACTTCACCCAGATGCTTGGGCGCGTTACATAAAGTTCCTTAAACGTACACAGTACAATATTTTCAAAAAGATTCTGAAACATCACTTATCATCGATTATCTTCTAGGTTTCTTGGCTGAAACTTTCCGGTGGTGGGTGAAGAATTAACAGTACTGTGATTCCCTGCATCCACCCAACGGATAGTAGGGTTTTTGTTTATAACGCGACCAAGAAAACATCTCCCTGCAGGTGCTAATTTCCGAGGCGCCAGTACCTGGACCTCAGGGTCACACTGCGGTGTCTCCTCAGCCCCAGACAGCCGTGCGGAGACACCTGGAACCTTCCGCCCCAACGCTTCCTTTCAGCCCTCGGCCCTTCCCATTCAGTTCTGGATTGTATTTGACCTGGGGCCCAAACACCTCATTTCTCAGTTGCTCCTTCACCCCAAGCAGGATCTCTGTGGGGCGACCCGGGAAACGCGTCAGAGTCTGAGGTGTTCTGAGGCGCCAGCCGGGCGCACGGGTCCCAGTCATCGGGGCGGGGCCAGTGACCCAGGGGTTAATCGCCAAGGTCCGGGTGGGAAACGCCCAAAGCGGACGGGGGTGGGGGGGGGGGGGGGTGGGGGGTGTTGGTCCGGTCTTCTCCGCTACGCCCCGCCCCTGGCGCTTATCTCAGCCAGGCAGGCGGCACCACGCCTTCCGCCCTGGCCAGGCCCGGGACCAGCCTCTGTAGGTCCAGATGTCCAGATCTCTGCTAGCAGCGGAGCAGCCAGCAGTGGAGCAGCCTCCCGTGACACCAGCGCTGCGTCCCGGGCTCGCCCCGCGGTGAGTGCCGGGTCTTGGAAGGGGGTGTGGGCTGTGTCCGGTGTCCCCACGCAACCGGGCCGCGCAGGAGGGGAGAGGGGACACGAGGAGGTGGCCGGAAAGGAGCAGGGGCATTCGGGGAAAGGTCTTCAGGATGCCACAATGCAGGGATGCTTGAGGTCCTCCTAGCGTCGAAGCTGCTACTTTGGGGCGGGTTCGGAGGTCCGGCTGATTCATCCCTGTTCCATGCAGGACTGTTCGTGCTCTGCCAATGAGGCCTGGGCTACTGAACTGCTGCTGAGCCCAGGGAGTGAACGTGGGCTTTGTGTGAGCGGGAAAGGCAGGTGGTGGGTTTTGTGTGTACATTTCGTTAGACAGTAGCACAGTGCTCGATAGAGGCGACTGAGTTTCTAGCCCCTTGGAGGCTCCTTTGAAAGTGAGTAGAAACACAGACTGAGAACTCAAGAGTGATTTTTCAGAAGATGTGGTGGTGCAACTGATTTCTGGTCTGGAAAGGATGGTATCTTTAGGTCTTGCTTTTCTGCAAATGTGTGTGAAGTAGTTGATATAAGAAAGGCAAAAACTTACTAAGCATGAAAGTTATTACAGGTTGAGAGGCAATTAACATTCATGTTTTAAAGGTATTGATCAGTGTATTCTGGTTTTTCTCATTCCTAGGACATGAGTTTTGTCCACAATTTTAGATGTTTTGCTAGAGTTATTGAGATCCCTCTTGTAATTTATCTGTGAGTAGTTGAATTTTATTTTTTAAAAGATGGAGTCTTTTTATGTTGTCCAGGCTTACTTGGTATCCCTGAGCTCAAGTGAGCTTCCTGCTTCAGCCTCCTATGTAGTTGTGACTACAGGCCAGCACTATCATGCCCTGCTCTTGAGTTTAAGTTAAAAAATTAACCAGTTTATTATAATATTTATAAAAATAATGTTGAAAAATTTTGAGCAATGTGGAGGAATTTAAGACCAAACAAATTCCATTGTAAGACTATTTAAAAAATACATACACTAGCATGTATAAATCAAGTACTCTGGGAGGCTGAGGCAAGAGGATCAAAAGTTAGAGCCCATCCTGGGCAGTTTAGTAACTTAGCAAGACCCTGTCCCAAAAAGAAAAAAATAAGAAAACTTAAAAGGTTCTAAAGAATCTTAGTTTGCAAGCCCTGGGCTCAATCCCTAGTAACCCCCCCCCCCCAACACACACCCCAAAATGAAAACCAAAACAAAACATATACTTGCTTTGTTTTATTTTCTTGTCTGATATTATAAATACAAAAGGTCATTCCTCCTTTGGAGAAACATACAGATTCATAGCAACAAGTTTTTATTGGGCATTTCTATTCCAGGCCCTGGCCATTATGCATAAGTTTCCTTAGGAAACATTCTTGTGTGTCAAGATCTAGTACAATACACAATATGCAGGATCTAGAACTTTATATGCAGAATCTAGAATTCTATTTCTGCATTTATTGTCATTAAGCATCCATGAAGCATTGAAAATCCGCATGAGGTTGATAATTGGAAACTAAAATAGAACCTAGAATGGAAGTTTCCATGCTGGAGTACATTGGAATGGACATGGGCAGATTGAAAGGTCCTCTGCACTCAAAGCTACTTCCTGGAGGCCGTAAATGACAATAGGAAAAGTGCTGGCTCTTCAAGGAGGTTTTTTTCTGGCATTTACTATTTTTGAGGCAGGGGCTCACCATATAATCTAGGCTTGCCTTTAATTATGTACCCCAGGCTGGTCTCAAACTGTGGTAATTCTTCCACCTCAGCTTCCCCAGTGCTGGAATTACAGGCATGTCGCACCATGCTGGGTATGGCATTTGCTTTTGAGGGAACTGTCTTAGGCATGTGTCACACAGGGATTCAGAGGAGACTGAAAAATGACAATGGGAGAGCATCATCAGTGTACCAGCAATGCACTTTGAAGTGTGCTTTTGATTGTCCTTGCCTGCATGTTTTTGGGACACACTTGAATCCTAAGACCCTGTGGTCTCCTATGCTGCTGTTTAATGACTGGGTCTTATTAGGAAATAAACCTAGATTGTATGGAGAGAAAAGTGGACTTCATGTTGTTTAAATGTTTGGTAACTATTTCTGTCCAGATATATACGGAGTCTGCCAAGAAATGTATACACACTTCAGGAAAGGTAAAACATGTATAAATATTTTAATACTAAATTTATTGAGATATCATGTGATTAATACAAGATACCTTTCACCTCTAGAATTACAAGAGATGCTCAAAGGGGTTGGCATTAGCTTCCAGACATTTATTAGTACAGCAAACTGCTGCTTGGGTAACCTTGGTCAAAGTGTCTGTTGAGATGCTGCACATGCATTTTCAGTTTCTTTTCTAAGGGCTGGCAGTATAGTGGGTTTTCTGAGGTATATGACATCCTTTAGGGTCCCCCATGTATAAAAGTATTAAGATATTTATACAGGTTTTTCTTTTCCTAAAGTTTGTATACATTTTTTAGAGGACTCTATATATGTATGTATATATACATATATATTTATATTTCATACACCTATATATGTAAATATATTTATACGTATATATGTGTGTGTGTGTGTGTATATATATATATATATATATTTTTTTTTTTTTCTCTGCTGAGGATTGTGAACCCAAGGTCTTACTGGTTCCAGGCAAACACTGTACTACTGAGCTACCCTCATCCCCTATTGTTTTTAATGGATACATAGTAATTATACATATTTGTGGGGCACAGTGTGACATTTCAATATGTATACACAATTTGTAGTGATCAGATCCAGATAGTTGGCATTATCTGTCACTTCAGACATTTTGTTAAGGGTTTTTCATAGAAACTTGGCACCAGTTGAAGACTGTATCTAAAGGAAAAGTTGATGTTGCTTACTCTGGTGATGAGTTAAAATTGAAAAGTTTTAGTGAATTAAAAAAAAAATTTAAACTTGCTAAGTAGTGCAGGCTGGCCTCGAACTCACTATGTAGCCTTGGCTGACCTCGAACTCACATGGTGATCCTCCTGCCTCAGCCTCCCGAGTGCTGGGATTACAGTGTGCCACCACCTCCAGCCCATTTTAGTGAAAATTAAGGAATCTGAAAGACCACCTTAGCTATATTTACAGGTTACATGCATGAAACTAAAGTTTGTCCTTCAGAAAAAGTGAATGTCCACATCATTAAGATATGAACCAATAACTGATTGTCTAGATGACTTTTGCCTCATAATTTTTTTTTTCTTTTCAATGGCTGTATTGGGATACAATTACATACTGTATCATTTACCTACTAAAAGAGTACAGTTCTGTGGTTATTGGTATTTAGGGTTGTGAAAGCATCACATTCCCACCTTCGCTTCCCAAGACCCATATTGAGGAGCACTCATTCCCCACTCAGTGGGAGGCTGAGAAGGGTAGATATCTAATTTTGAGCCATAGTTAACTTATTTGTGGAGACAAATAAAATGCTTGGAGAATTATATTCAAAGGCAGTAGTTCATACTGGGGATGAACAGAACAAAATTGCTATTCCACTTTCTGCTTCCTTCCTAATCTTGAAGTCAGTTTTCTCAAGAATGGTGAATAAAGTTTTGGTGAAATCAAAGGTTCTATTGAATCACATTTCCTGCACTTTGTTGATCACTATCTCAGTCCTTGGGTCTGTTTTAGGAAAAGCCTTGTTACTATTTAGATCAGGTTCTGGCTGGAAATTAGTCCTGAGCCCAGGTAGCATTAGGTAATTCACATGTACAGAGCTCTCCAAGTTATCCAGAAGGGTGAAAAGAAAGTGTCTAGGAAGTAACAAGCCTTGAGATCTTCCTCTCTAGTCAGTGGAAGTGAATGTCTTACAGAGAATGAGGAAAGACTGCCTGAGAGGTATCCAAATTTAGCCTACTGTCATCCATGAGGTCTGTTACTTCTGTTTTGCCTCATACCGGTAGACTTTGCTTGTACCCAATGAAGGAGAATAAAAGGAACAGAAAAGTAAGAAGGGACAACAGAATACTGAGAAGGGGAAAAAAACCATTTCACTTTACTGAACCTCAAGCATCCCATTAGTTAGGTATGACAACAAGATCTTTGGAACCTTAGAATGATAAAAGGAAGTGACTCTTAATGTACGATTGAGTGCTTACAGGAGACAGAAGACTATTGAACTTTATTAAAGTATATCATCTCTGTCCATTGGTCTGTCCTTCCTTCCTCCCTCTCTCCCTTCCTTCTTTTTTTCTCCCCCTATCCTAACCTGGTAGTGTGTTTCACAGATCTACTTGTTCACAGAACGGCTCATCATAAAGGCACGCAGGGAGCAGAAAGGAGATCCAAATATAACTCTGTTCTTAAACTCTGCTATTTCTTCATTTTCTGCCTTTCTTATCTGGATGACAATTTCTTCCCAGCTGCAGGGAACATAAGACTTTGTCAGGAAAGATCTATATTTTATTTAAGGAATCCAGAAATGAAGTATGAACCAGTTGAAAGAGTCACGTGCCAGAAGACTAGTATTGTGTTAAGTATACTCAGAAAACTTAGTATTTTTTTTTGCAGTACTAAAAATTGAATCCAGGGCCCTAAGTTGCTAGGCCTGTGGTGTTCCACTGAACTGGTGAGCTATATCCAAGCCCAGACATTTAGGGCTTATCCAACACATCATTAGGAATGGCAAATACTTGACTGGTCAAACTAATTGTATTACATAAATGTTCATTAATGGAGTCATGACCTGGTAAAAGTCTGACATGCCAGGATCTGGTACTGGTGTGCCAATAAACTAGCTCATAGACTCTCCTGGCAAGCTAACCTCATATATAGTTGTGGGGATCAAAGGAGTTAATATGGCAGTATAGTTTGGAAACTGCACAACACTATAGCTATCTATCCGTATGTAACAATGTAGTATAAAATAATATATTAATGATACCATAATTTGAATATAAATTTAATATAAAATTATTGAGATAGTTTACATTTTCTCATACTAATTCCTCAAAACTTGGTGTGTATCTTATATA